CCCAGTCAGTCCTTCCTCCCAGCTGTGCCCAGAGTGGCCTGGACACCGGAGTCCGAAAGACAGAGCATGCGGGGAGCCCCACTGAAGGCGACCACAGGAGGCCCGGCACCCTCGGCGGTCCTCGCTACTGGGGCAGGGCCCCTCCTCACTGCCTTGACATTCTCCCCACGAGCACGCAAGGAGGGACGGGAGACAAGGACGGCTAGTCCTGGTGTCTGACATCCGGCTCCCTCAGGTGCTGCCAGCTTCTGTCCAGAGCCCCTTTCCCACCCTAGCCCCCCCATATTTACCCAGTCTATCAGGCAAGCAGTCCTGGTGGCACAGGCCCCCGGGGAGGTGGCCTACCTGGCAGTGGGGGTGCAGTGTGGCCCCAGAGTGGTCACCCCAGGCCCTCCCCACTGTATCCCGCAGGTAGGCCCCTCAACATGCCGCCGGTGTCCCAACACGTGTCCTATGACCTCCAAAAACCCCAGTGTCGGGGTGAGTGAGAAGGACCAAAAGTAGAGCACCAGCCAGGAGGGGGCCAAACCGGCCCCCAGCCAGGCCAGTCTGTGCCCAAGCACATCACGCGAGCGTCAGGCAGCTGGGGGCCACTCCCAGAGCACAGCCCTGTCCGGTCCTCACGTGCCCTGGGCACCCCTCTGCCCAGCCCACGGGCTCACCTCTCCGAGGCCCGCAGGCTTCCGCTGCCAAACAGGTTCCGGATGGAGCGCGAGGCCGGCAGCTTGGCATCGCGGGAATAGAAGACCATGCAGAAGTCCTTGGTGATGACGGCCGGCTGGGTGCAGTTCTCCAGCTGCAGGGCCAGGGATGCAGGGGCTCAGGCACAGGGACACCCCCACACTGCCCTGGCCCCAGGCCCCCCTTCTAACCTCCAGGGGCAAGGGCCACCGCACTGACCGCAACCCAGGCCTCCCAGGCCCTGGCGTGGCCTCACACTCAGGCGGGAGAAAGTCTCTGCTGCCCCCGAGCTGACTCCTGCCAAGACAGCCCGGACCCTGCCTCCTGGGGCTGCCGGGGGCCCGGAGTTGTGCAGGGCACCCCGAGGGCCCCAGACACAAGCCTCACCCTGTCGGGCCTCAGCTGCCTCACCATCAAATCGGGTGACACTACATGAAACGTCTGTGAGACTGCACCCACGTGTTAGGTCTACCACGCCACAGATAACGTCCTGGCGACGGACGTGCTTTCTTAAACAGCGGGCTCGCTGTTCTCCTGATGGGTCCTGGGGACTTGTGTGGACAGAGCACTGCTGGCGTTCCTCAGCCCCGCGAGCAACCACCCATGAGGCGGCCACACAGGGACAGCTGGAGTAACTGGGCTCTGACAGAAGTGGACGCCTTTGCTGACCTCAAACCTCCTGACTCGCACTCCTCTGCCCAGCTGGACATGCCCACGCCCACAGCCTCTTCCTGTACCTCAAAGGGAGGCCACAGCTCAAGACCCTGACATGGGGGGCAGGCTTCTGTTTCCATGCTGCCTGGAACACAGATGCAATGTCTGGTGGGCCGCAGCCACCTTGCAACCCAAGAACAAGCCCGCACTGAAGATGGCGCAGTGGGTTAATTATCAGCGCTGTGATTAAAGGTGCGAGCGCTTAACAAGAAGGCAGCGGGGTCATCTGGGCATGTCCAGGGCTAAGGAGTGCCCGCCCTGCCTCCTGGCAAGCGCCTCAGGCTTGGGGGACTTTAGTGGCATGCCCTGGACATAGGTTTCTTGCCTCAATGTAAACAGAGAGGGTCATGTAGATTTTCTCTCGATACGGGGTGACCCGGTTCAGCAGGAGAGAGTTGTGCATGGAGCTGTCCCACGCAGCCTCAAACTGGTAAAAGGTCCTGGAAGGGAGCAGATGTGAGCTTAGATACGGAGGCGTAGGCCTCTCTCAGCTGGGACGGGGACATGCAGATGGACACTCAGAGAGACATGTGGGTGACCGGCAGGAAGGACAGAGCCTCCTTACTCAGGACTGGGGAGGGGCGGGGCTCTGAATGCCACCAGCAGGGTGAGCCCAGGTGCCGGCTCCCGGCTAGATGGTGGGACGCATTAGCCCACAGCACTCAGGCTTCAGGAAGGAGAGGCAGGAAGGACTGAGAGGGGAGGAGCAGCAGAGGACAGGGGAGAGGGCGGGAGGACA